CAGAGAAATTAGGATTTGATCACAAGGTACCTGACTGATTTGAGATCATCATTCTATTTCATTATAATAAAAATTTTACCCAGAACAGTGTCCAAAATAAGTCTGTTAGAAGAAACTGCATTTGTATGTGATGAGCACAAAGGATGGGAGATTTTCCAGGGGTCTTAGAGCAAGGAGAATGGGAAGGTGCATTCCTATCTGCAACTGCTTCTTACGTACTAAAACTGATATGTTGTTTGGTTTTAATATCATCCGTCCCTTGCTTCCAAAAAGAAAAGGCATTTATGCCAAATGAAAGAATAAGAAGTTGCACAGGGTTGGGAAATGGAGATGGCCAAAACCTTTCAGGAATTTTCTGCTGGCTCTGGAAACATGAGGGCAGATATGCGGCACGGTGCCGGCAGGCTGACTGCAGCTCAGAGCAACAAGGGGTTTCAGCCCTGCGTTCAATGAACTGGGGAGCTCAGGCCTGCTCGTGGGGCTTATGGATCTGCACAAAATCCCCCCAGAATAAGGGTGGGATAGAGCTGTGCCAGACCGAACGGGCACCGCGCCAGGGCCCAGGGCTGGGACATGAACTCAGAGGGGGCCAGCAGCAGTGGCCCAGCCCTGCCCCAACAACCTGCTCTTCTTGGCCAGGCAGCAGCGGTCGGGACTGTCAAAGCCACCAAAGGGACCCGGCATCCAACGCTAATCAACTTCCCACACGAGTTCAGCTCCCGATAACGCTTCCGTTTCTTGCCAATTAGGCTTTAGTGACAAACTGTCAGGATATTTGTGTTTAAAAGACTCTTCTACCTTAATAGATGCCTGCTAATCTGCAGAGCGGTGCAGATAACTATGGGCATGGACTCTGATGGCTTTCTCCCCTTGGGGTCTTACTTTTGAAAGGAAATACATCTTTAGAGCTATGGTAAAAGGACAGCGGAGGAAGGGGAGGGAAATGAAAGCAAAGACAACAAGAAAAGCTAGGATAAGAAGAATGGCAGTATAAAACAATCCAGCTTCAGTATTACAACGCAGAAGAAACAAATGTGTCAGACCCAAGGGTACAATTCCAGCAGATGACTAAAAGTCTGACTGGATTTGACACATACCCTCACTTAAAGGGACCAAGGCTGCTGTCAGGTTAAGGTATTGGGTATTCACTGACATTAGGTGAGAAAAACTTGCCTTTATGCCTGAAGAATAAGAAGAAACAATAAGTCTTAGTTCCATTCACACGTTTCACATCTTCATGAGAGACTGTTTCTAGCTGGTTTTGTTGGTTGTCCTCAAGCAGTGGACACGCTATGGAAGATGCTGCGCTCTCTCTGTAGCATCTCCCTCCCTACCAGCCCGTTAAAGGCCACACCGCAACGGGACAGCACGAGGGATCCTGGTTTGCTTCATCCATCATCCAGAACCGGGAGCTCAGCTCCAGCCGCAAAATTTTTATTACTAGTTATGATGCAAAAGGCTGAAACCACACGATTTGATTTCCCCAGATCTAAGGCTGAGTTTGCAGCAGCAGCAGTTGGAGGGGAAATCATTTTGACTTTTCACTGAGCCAATTTGATCTGGAAATTGTTGAGAGGGAACAAATATGGAATCCCACTGTGGCATTTTTGCAGGCACTTTCTGACTACAACCACATTTTTTTTTTATTATTATTTTTGGGCATCACTTATTACTATTTGGTGCATGTCAAAAATCAGCTATTCCCTGAAGTCATGCATGACTGATCAATTACAGAACTAATACTTTTATCAGTCATTTTAGGAGACAAATAGTCCCAGGCCCTTTTAAAGTTTCCCAACCTGCAGCATGGCGAGATTGTTATTCATTTTAACTCCAGTGCTCTCCAAAAAGGTCAGAGTGCCCACAGTACTCGGCTGTGCACAGTAACACACAGCAGCATATCCCGGGCAAGTCTCTAGGTGACCAACAAGCTTTTGCAGGAAGCAGTCTGTGTAATACGGGCGCTTTCCTCTCTTTTTCTCAGGGAGGGAAAGGAAAAAAACTGTTTATCGACTTTGGACTGTCTTTAAAATAAGTAGAACCTAAGCAGTCTGCCCACTCTGCTAAGTTATTCACTGATGCAGAGCAGAATACATGCATGCACACGTCAACTCAAATCACTGCAGCACTTACTTCTCTTAACAGACTTCTACATACCATTTCAGTTTTCCAATCCATCTTTTTTCTTCCTTTTTGTGCGGGGGGAAAAATGTTTGCAGCATTCAAGACAAGAATAAGGGAGTTATACCCTTGGCCCAACTCCTTTGCGTGCAAACAGCTCTGGTGCTCTCGTGCTGCTCAGCAGTTTCCCAAACGGCAGGTAAATAAAGACACCACACAGATTTTGCTCTCTGGACAACATTATAGTTATACTATGCTTCTGCTTTGATTATTATTAGTTGATCGTTTCCACGTAAAACAGCCAAAAACCTGAAGACACACCCCCCTTGGCTCAAGTATCTGGAGGCTGGGTGGGAAAGAGGAGATACCTGCTAGGGCTCCTGCTCCATTGGAAGTGCCCTACAGAAAAGCAGAAAGTCTTCAATTTGGGCATCATCTCTAGTCTTTGATCATGCACCAATTCCTTCTCCTAGCTTTTATCTGCCTTCTGGCAGAATGATGAGGGAAAAAAATATATATATATCTCAATCAACAAGCGCCATCCATATCCATCCTCCCTCTGCTACATTTACACTGCCCTGTAAGAATGTCCAGGCTGGGGGGCAAAGATGAGGAAGAAGACTCAACTACCGGAGTGGTCTGGAACACATTTTAGAAAATTCTGATGCTTAAAGCTCTGGAAAAAGGAGGAAGAACAACAAGAAAAGGGGGGTGAGGGAAAGATAGAGAGAGAAAAAAACCCAACTTGCTGCTACATCACACAACACCCTAACACAGCCCTTCACATCCAAAGCAGCCAGCAACCCCATCACCTGCCCTGCTGCAATCTCTCACATCGTGTGCTCACATGAGTGCTTGCTCACCTAAATGCTGCATCGTGACTTATTTTTTCCTGGCAATTTTTTAGCCATCCAGTTCTTTTCACGCAGCATTTATCTTCTAACCTCTCTTAGTTTGCTTTTTCATGTCTTTAAATCCTGAAAAGGAGGACACACCTTATCTCTTTCATAAGCTGGACCAGCATCCCTTGTTTTGCACATTCAGTCTCATATCTCAGCATGATATTTGTTTCTCTCCCTCTCTGAATAAATAGAAGCACAGGCACTTTTAAGGAATAAGAGCTCTGTTTGAAGAGTAATTAGCTGTCAGCATAAAACTAGTATTTATGGATTCTCATCCTTGAAAAAAAATCTAACTCTGCTACCCGGCACTGATTATGGCTGTGTTACAAACAGATGGAGCTGCATCCATACAACTTGCAATAATCCTATATTTAAAAAATAATTAAGTACAAATAAAGGATTGAATTCCACTAGCTTTCATAAATTTGATTTCCAATTTGAGCTGTTTGTGCAGCCTGGAAGCTGGGCTATTCCTGGCTATATCACGCTGCACTAGTGCACCTTGAAAGTGGGAGACTGCAGCACACGCAAACGTATATTCCCAACGCCAGGCACATGGGAGGGCCAGAGAAGGGTACCCGCTGCCCACCCGCTGGCCGGGATCACAAGGAAACCAGGCACCCCTGGGTGCTGCGCCTGGCTGCTCGGCGCACAGGTTGGAGACCTACCAGCGATGCTGCCTTTGTTTTAAGGACACACAAAGTTATCAGAGTGTGAAAACACTCTTCTTCAAAGCCCTTGGAATAACCTGCCCTTTATCACAGCGTTAGTCTTTTACTTCCTTCTCTGTTCAACGTGGGGCAGCATGTTCGTGGAATACTTGCACCTCCATGAAGAAACAAACACAGGAAATTAATGCTCCGCTTAATTAAGTCTGTGCATTTAACTTGCTGGCATCTCCTACCATACCAAGATTCACTCCAAGTTTGCTATCCATCACAGCGCAAGATATGACAAACACGATCCAATCCTACATGGAATCTATCGCTCTTGGTTAACTAGGTCACAGACTGTACTGCAATGTTTGTAAGGCTGCCAGGCTTTTCTCCACGAAGTGTAGGCAGGAGGCCAAATTCGCCCCTCTGTTGCACCCCTGCCTCCCTGCTGCTGTTCCCCAGCCCTGCCTGGGGCTGGATGCCAGCGGTTCGGGCTGCAGGTAACGAGGCCTGAGCGACTCCACCCAAGGCAGAGTGACAAAGGGGCTGATGGGGACAGCGAGGCTCAAGCCTCCGCGAGGGCACATCCCGCCTGTCCATCCCCACGGACCGGCACAAGTTTCATCATCTCCTACCAGCTTTTATGTATTTAAATGCTGTAAAGCAGCCAGGTTTCTGCCAATACCCCAGGAGGGAGCCTCTTGCACAACCACAGACACCTCCCGCCAAGCAAGTTTTTCCTTAATAGCCATGCTGAAATTTGCCTTTGCCTAATTTCAGCTCTTTACTTCCAGTCACACCCTATTAGACTACCCAAACATTTCCTCTGGCAAGAGGAAAAGTGTAGAAACATCGACAGGCACCTGCCAACACACCCCATGCAGAGGGTGATGCTGCAGGACACCCATTAACACTGCTCCCCCCCACCCCTCATTCCTGTCACCATCCTTCCAAGATGCCTGTTTGTCAAAGAGAAATGGGGTGACCCTATGGAAGCGAGGGGGACATGAGGAGAGGGGGACAAAGGTCCATGGGATAACTGAGGGGATGAGCAGCGATGAAGCCATGGGGAGGCATGCGTGGAAGGGAAAATAACATGAGGGGTGATCAAGAATAGGGGACATAGCAATGAAGAGAGGGATGGGCTGTGACCAAAAAGACAGTGGGTGACTTGAGACACGGGATGAGGGGTGACAAGGCTTGGGGGAAGGAGGGAAGAGCTGACTGAGGATGGAGAGGTGTGTGACCAAAAGGGACAGGGCTGTGAGGGAGGGGAAGGTGCCAGGCTGCTTGGAGCAGGGAAGACGAGGGCTGCTCTTACCTCTTTAACCTTCATCCTGCGGGCGTTCGTCTCGGGGTCCTCGGGGGGCCGCCTGCCCCGCGCCGGGTGCCGGAGGCT